AACCCAGGCGTGTGCCTTTTTTGGAATCAAAACCAGGACCCTTCAGTCCCCAGGCCGACGCTCTATCCACTGATCCAAACTGGCTAGGGCTCAACCCCTTAATTCTTTTTTTTAAAAAAAAGTATTTTTATTAATTTGAGAGAGGAAGGAAGATGGAGAGAGAGAGAGATAGAATCATACACGATGAGAGAGAAGCATCTATCAGCTGCCTCTTGTACATCCCCTACTGGGAATCGCACCGACAACCTTGGTTGTGCCCTTGTACAGAATCGAACCTGGGACCCTTCGGACTACAGGCTGATGCTCTATCCAGTGAGCCAAACCCGCTAGGGCCCCTTAATTCTTTTTTAAAATTGTAATCCTCATCTGAGGATATGTTGATTGCTTTGAGAAAGAGAGGAACGGAGTGGCACAAGGAAAAAAAAGGAACATCCATGTGAGAGGAAACATAGACCTGTTGCCTTCCATAAATGCCGGGCAGCAGATCAAACCCACAACCTGGTCTGCGCCCTCACCAGGAGCCCAACATGCCCTTTGACTGAAGTGGGCGAATGAAATGAAGCTGCAAGAGATTGAGCCGCCTGGCCAGGGCAGCACCTGAAATCTTCATGTTTCCTTCAAGACCTTGAATTAGTATGACTCAGCATTTGGGGGCATGTTTTGCATGTTGCCTGTTGGTTGTATGTGTGAATTGGCTGTCCCTTTGGGTGTTCCTGATGTGTGTATTGTGTTCTCTTTGTGTCTGTGTTCTATGTCCGTGTATGTCTGCTCTGGTCTGTGCATGTGTGTTTGCATTGAGTGTGTGTGTTTGTGTGTGTGTGTGTGTGTGTGTGTGTGTTCCCCTCAAGGTGTTCCCTGTGTCTGCAGTGTGTGTCTGTGTGACCCTGTCCATAAGCCCTGCACTTGAATGCCCAGCTGTGCCTGGGGATGTCCTGTAACTGCATGTTTCTGTGCTTGTGCTGTCAGTATGTTTCCCTGTGAGTCTGTGCACCCCAGACACAGGCAGATGCCTAGGCAGTCTCTGGAGGGGTCAGGAAGGGGCCCCTTCGATCCTTGCTCTTCCAGCCTCTTCTGTCCTTCACGGGGGCCCCTCACAGGCCTCAGGGATCGATGGAGTGAAAGGTCAGTTCATAGAATCCCAGGCTGTGGGAAGGGGAGGAATTAGGGAAGATTCTGATGGCAGACAGGAATTAGAGAGTGTGCATGGGGAATGTTTGTGAAGGACACTAGGCTTCTTGGAGGAGCTGGAGATCCAGGTCCCTTGGGAAGGAATGAGTGAGTGAGTGCATATGCGGGAACCTGAGGGGAAAGACTTCCAGGCTCCTAACCCCCCACTAGGAATGAGGAAGTGAACATCCCTGGAGAAGGTGTCCCTTGCCCATGTGAAAGCAAGGCTGACTTCTCAGGGAGGAAGGTGCCCGGTTCTACCAGAGCATCACTCCTAGACCGCTGGGACCTGGTCAACTGGGAGTGCGTGGCCACACAGGACACTGGGACCAGGAGGGAGAATTAGGCCCAGAGATCTCTTCACTGTGTTTGGGAAGAACTGTGGAGGGGCCGCATTTAGCACAGATTCCTGCACAGAACCAATGGAAGCCACAGGGTTACCATTGATGTTACCGGCAGCATTTTCACCATCAGCCCCACCTGCTGAGGCCCTCACATGGGCAACGCAAATGATCCAGGGCCTTGGAGGCAGGGAGGGACTGATGTTCATGTAAAAGCACGTGATGCTGGAGGCTTCCAGCCTGTGCCCGTCCCAGTCAACACTCTTAACTTGTGAGTCTTCACCTCCACCCGAGTGTGGGACCCGAGGCAGCCAGGGGTTTACCCAGGTCACACTCAGAAGTGGGCTCTGAGTTTGCTGCCAATGCCATCTGCCCAAACTCCTTTTCTGAGGTTCACTGCTTTGGAACTTGCCAGTGATGGTTTAGGGCTGCGGTTCTCAACCTGTGGATCGCGACCCCTTTGGCGGTCGTACGACCCTTTCACTGGGGTCGCCGAAGACCATCCGGCATATCAGATATTTACATGATGATTCATAACAGTAGCAACATTACAGTTATGAAGTAGCAACAAAAATAATGTAATAGTTGGGTC